GCGCAACAGGAAGACCCTATGTACATGTGTTAACTTTGTTTTAAATAAAAAGAGTAAAGAGTGAAAAATAAGGGAACCAGCAGTTAGCGTAATGGCTATGTCGCTGGACTCCCACGTAGTCGACCGCGGTTCGTGTCCCGGACCCGGTGGCTTAAAACTCACGCCGGGCGCGTGTGCGTGCGTGCCCAAGATCTCGAGAGGAGAATGGAGGAGAAGGGATTGCGGCGTGACCATCCCCCCTGGGGGGTGATTTCTCGCTTTCTGTCTCTATGTCTCTCTCTGTCTGTCTGGCGAGCGTACGCGCCCTACAGTGAAAATCTCTCCAAAAAAAAAAAAAGAGTGAAAAATAAGTCTTCCTGCCAGGACTGTCTGTTTCTTTCTTGATGGTAATGAATGGTGAATTTGTTACACAAATTCGCCCTGTGGAAAGTTCAATATCTTAGAGAATGCGAGTTTGGGGCTGGTATATTGAATTCTGTATTTTCCCCTTGCCTTTAGGATATCATAATGAAGCAGCAGTAGCGGGATTTTCCCAAAGCTAGAAGATTGGTTTCTCAGATGCAATGCTGAAGAGGGTTCTTCAGTCATTTGGCAGAATCTGCGGCAGTGGTGGTAACTGCATGGTGAATCAAGAGCACAGCCTTGGTTTGGGAATTCGAAATACTGTAAGGACTGAAAAAGGGTAAACCAGTGAAAGTCTCATCACTACCATCCCCCTGGTGATTATGCAGCAATAGACTTCTAGAAATGAGATTTCAGGAACAGAGCAGCAGACGGGAGTTGGATCCAAAGCAATTGAAAATATAGTGGTACACAAACTCAAGGATCTTTCATTTTTTTCTTTTTTTTTCTGCAGGGTGCATACACTTGCTGGAGAGAGACAGTGACAGAGAGAGAGAGGAAGTGAGAAATCACCCCCAAGGGAAGATGGCCACGCTGCATTCTCTTTTCCATTCTCCTCTCAGGATTTTGGATACACACATACATGCCTAGCATGCTGCCAGGTCTGGGGCTCAAACCATGTAGTCAGCCAAGTGAGATCCAGCTGCCTTAACCACACCACCTACTGGCCTCCCTTTTAATTTTTTAGCATTAATGTTACTAATGTGAACTTCTCTACTTTCAGTCTCTGCCGCTCTTTGTACCGGTTGTTTCCTGAACCAACCACTCACTCTATGCCTCCTCCCTACCTGTAGCTTTTGCTAATTTGTAATGTCTAGAAGACAATATGCTTTAATTTTAAGGCCTGTGACACTTGGCCTTTCCATTAAGACTTTGCTGCTGTTGCTAGTTTCCAGGTTGGTTTGTTCAAGGTTTTAACGCTTCTTACATTAGGCCATTACACCAAACAGCTGGACTTTGGTAATGGATCAACTCTGATTCAAACAGATGTGACTAGAGAGTCAAGAGTCACATTGAACAAAACCTTGCCATCTACAGAGGCCTCATTGGTTGAGTTCAGTGGGAAGCACAGTCTAAATTCAGGCAATAGACGGAGATAGAGTATGATTAATGACTGGGAGATGGAACACCTATGAGGCTAAGTAGCATGTTGAAGGTCAGAGAAATTTGCAATATTTAATTCACTGATCCGGTCAGTTAAGAGAGGTCTTTATAATAGGATTATATGAAGGAGAATAAGAACAGAGTTGATGTGGGGTGGGACTTTGTGGGAGTGGCATTGCATGTAATCTTTTATATAATAAATTCCCTAAATTACCTACAAATGATCTCATCAGTTAGTAGATTGGGGATGGTCTATTGTATACAGCGTCACTATTAACCTATGAGCTGCAAGGAAAGAGCAAATAGAAATCTAATCCAGCGTCTGTGGCATAGCCAGTAGCTTACGGACTGTGGAGCTGGAAGCCACATGCTGACCAGGGTGTTCAGGTGCCTGCTCTGGCTGGCCTGGAGACATGGCAGGTACATGCACATGTGCCCAGGATCCTGGCCAGGAGGACTGAAGGAAGAAGATCATGATGCGATGACCCCTGTGGAAGGTGCTTCTCTGTCTCACGGATGCATGTACTGTCGCGAATTTTAAAAATCTAATCAAATCTAAGCTTTTGAAGTGTATATAAATATAATTAGTAAATCTATTAGCAGTGAAATAAATTGATTTAGATATAAATCTATCTATTGACTCTTTTTTTTTTTTAAATGAAAGAGGGAGAGGGAAAAAGATTTCCCTGTTTTTTTGACGAAGTTTCACCATGTGTGACCTTCCTGTCCCAGCCCCAAGCCTGGAGCGTTTAGGTTGGTTCAGGATCCAAGCCCAGGCCTCCCCTTAGCTCTGGCGTTGTCCAGCAGTGCCCTACCATTTGCAGTGTTGCAACAGGACTATACTGAAAATTTTGTCAAATGTAAACAATATCCTCCCACTATAAAACTAAGGTCCTGGTTGGTATTAAGGGCTAATTTTTTTTTTTTTTTTTTTTGCTATAGGTCTCTTGTGCTTGTGAAAGAGAGATGGGGGGAGAGGTTTGGTGGAAGAAAGCACCCCAGGTGGAATGTCCATGGTGCAATCCTTTCTCCTCCATATCTCCCTTCTCCTGGGATTTGAGTACACATGCACATATGCCCAGTGTGTTTCTCAAGCTGCCAGGTCCAAGACTATCATGTCATGTGGGATCCAGCACCCTAACCACCATGCCACTGGGTGGCCCGAAGGGATCATTTTTCTTACTTGAATGATAGTTAAATAAATTCAACCGATCTGGCATATTGGTTGCTTACTTTTACAGTAGTTTCCAGAAGACTAATAGCATGGTCATCATTACCCTAATAAGATAGGAAAGTGTTAGTGAGATGTTTTGAATGCTATGAAGGGCAATAAATAAACCAGAAATTGAGATGAATGGATTTTAGGTCCACCTTGCCGCTTATTAGTGTTTTTCTTTTCTTTCTTTCTTTCTTTCTTTCTTTCTTTCTTTCTTTCTTTCTTTCTTTCTTTCTTTTTTTTTTTTTTGCTATAGGGCACGTGCGCTCGCCAGAAAGACAGAGAGAGACAGAAAGAGAGAAATCACCTCCCAGGGGGGGATGGCCACACTGCAATCCCTTCTCCATTCTCCTCTCGGGATCTTGATCACACACACACGTGCCCAGCTTAAGTTTAAACCACTAGGTCCAGGACTCAAACTGCAGTCGACTACATGGAAGTCCAGTGACATAGCCATTACGCTAATTGCTGGTCCCTCAAGTGTTTTTCAATCCACTGGGTCCAGGACTAGAATCGCACAGTAGAATGCATGGGATCCATCCATCCTGATCACCACGCCACCAGCTGGCCCAACAACTCACTCATTGAGCCGATTTCCTCATTTGTAAAATGGAAATGACATCAATACTACCTACTTTACACATTATTGGGAGAGTGAAATAAGTTTGTATGTGAAAATAGTTCAGACGAGTTAAAGTGCTGTGCAAATGTCTACTGTTTATTACCATTAACCTAGAAGCCATTCGGTTAATTCCATAATATTGATCTAAAAACATAGCATCCTGCAAAATCGTCTCTTCTTTGCTGCCTAAAATGCCATTTGTATTCACTATGAGCTTTGTATGAGCTTGTTCTGAAGTCATCAGGATATGCCGCTATCAGTTTAATATCTTCAAGAACAGCATTCCTAGAAACGTTGTTGCAAGTGCCCCTAAAAGCCCTCTTCCAAATAAGAAACGGCCTGATAGGTTAAAACAGGGCATGTGAGCATCAAGAGATGAGGACTAGTAATAACACTGCCATCTTATCAGAAAGGTTAACAAGGGACCTCCACTCTCAAATTATAAGATGTTTGGAACACATCACATTTTGTCAACCTAATAAAGAAAATAAAGTTTAATTTCCCAAAATTTTATTAAAAAATGGACTCTGTCATCAGATATCTTATTGCAAAGATGCAATCTCACATCAGACAGTAAAGTTTGCTGTAATAACAAGCTTTAAACAAGTACAAATTCTTTTTGTAGTTTTTGTACTTGAGAGTTTTGTCTATTAAAAAAAGTATTTTCTTTTTTCTGAGTCTTAGACGTTTTCCCACATTAATTTCTGTTCATTAAAATGACTTTTAAGGTTTTTTTTTAAAAAAGAATTATTTATCTTGGGGCTGGCAGTTGGCGTGGTGGTTAGGGGTGCGGGACACATGGCTGACCGCAGTTCAAATCCCAGACCTGGGACACTCTCTCTCTCTTGCTCTGTCCCTCTCTGGTCGAATTAAAATAAATAAATAAAGGTTAAAAAAATAATTCTCAAATAAAGAATTATTTATCTAATTTTATTTACTACTAGTATTACTTTTTAACTCACCAGAGAGAGACATAGAGAGACGGAAAGCAAGAAAGCAAGCTGCCAGGTCCTAGCCTCAAGCTGCAGTTGGCTATGTGCGAGTCCATTTCCCAAACCACCATGCCCCCTGCTGTCCCCTGACTTGTACGTTTTTAAGGCAAGGGAGAGATGGTAAGAGAAAAGAGGCAGTGTTCAGATAAGTTTTTAGAAAATTCGGGAGAATGGTTCAGGGTCGGCAGGTGGTGTGTGTGATGGTCAAAGCACTGGACTCCCACATGGCTGACCAAGGTTCAAGTCATAGACCTGACGGCTTGCTTTCTCACTTTTACACTCTTCTCTCTAATCAATTTTAACAATAATAATGGGACCACCAGTTAGCATAATGGCTATGTCGCTGGACTCCCATGTAGTCAACCGTGGTTTGAGTCCTGGACCTGGTGGCTTAAACTCATGCTGGGCGCGTGTGCATGCGTGCCCAAGATCCCGAGAGGAGAATGGAGGAAAAGGGATTGCGGCGTGACCATCGCCCCTGGGGGGTGATTTCTCACTTTCTATCTCTATCTCTCTCTGTCTTTCTGGCGAGCACATGTGCCCTATAGCAAAACCCTCTCCAAAAAAAAAAGAAAAAAAAATTAACGATAATGACAAATAAAATAATTCTAAGAAACACAATTCACAGTTCATTTCTTAAAATCTTTATTATTTATTTGGTACTTTTTGGTGTAAACACTGACATCTTTTCAAACTCTAAATCTTTGGTCTTTATTTTGGTCTTTATTTTATATAAATGAAAAACTATCCAATCAAGGATAGTAGTCCCCCAGCAGATACACAGCTCAAACTAAAAGGAAACTTCCAAATACATTCTCTAACTCTTATATATGTTAGGTTATGGCTACCTTAACTGGATTCTATTTAGATAAAATTTCTTCTTGGGTAGTATTTTTGGTTTTAGAAAGTGCTGAGGTAAATGTCTAGTAGCAATGTGGCACTCCTTTCCAATTGAAAATATTTTGTTGCTAACAAAATCTAATACGTCCAAAGTATCCTAAATACAGTGCCCATTCCATTAACTATTCTCTGGCGAACTCTCCCCTCGCATTTTCACATAAATGTAATTGTCATTCTTGGAGGGCAATGGAGGCTTAATAGCACTGTTCATTTTTTTACTCAGCTCAGTGAGAGTGGAACAGATGTGTACCCAGTGATACAGCTGTTCAATGACAATATTACCGAATTTCCACACTTCCATTCGGGAATGACCTGCATCAAGGGGAAAAAAAAAGTCAGTGTGGGTAGTTTTGTGTATTTATTACTAAAATTCTAAGTTCCAATATTGTAATTAAAGTTCACTAGATATGAGGACCAGCAGTTGGCGTAATTGCTATGTCACTGGACTCCCATGTAGTCAACTGTGGTTTGAGTCTCGGACCTGGTGGCTATGCCCCCTGGGGAGTGATTTCTCGCTTTCTGACTCTCTGTCTCTCTAGCGAGCACACGAGCCCTATAGCAAAAAAACCCCAAAAAAAAAAAAAAAAAAAAAAAAAAAAAAAAAAAACACTTCACTAGATATGTTTTTAGTGAAAAAGCACAACATCATGTTTAAATATGTAATTACAGGAATACAAATAGTTACATTTAGGTATATTCACAGAATAGAATACTACACAGCAATTAACAATGAAAACATTATAGCTACCTATATTGTTATTGAAAAAAATTTCAAAAAAGTATTGACTACAAAAAGTAAGTTGTAAAGATACGTTCTTTTGGATATAATTTACAAACGATTTAGGGCTGGCTCTCTGGCATAGCAGTAATGTGCTGTTCAAGAGAAAACAGATCCCACATGGCAACTGTGGTTTGCACTCCCGTTCCGATCAGCCTGAAGCATGCCAGGCACACACATGTGCGCCCAGGATCCAATGAGCTGAGAATGGGAGGAAGGATCTTGTGGTGTGACCAGACCTGGTGGAAGGTGCTCATTTCTCTCATTCTCACAGCTGTGTAGACACACCTTATCATTAATAAAGAAAAAATTCTAAAAAAAAAAAAAATTTAAAAAAAAAAAAAATTTAAAAAAAAAAAAAATTTAAAAAAAAAAAAAATTTAAAAAAAAAAAAAATTTAAAAAAAAAAAAAATTTAAAAAAAAAAAAAATTTAAAAAAAAAAAAAATTTAAAAAAAAAAAAAATTTAAAAAAAAAAAAAATTTAAAAAAAAAAAAAATTTAAAAAAAAAAAAAATTTAAAAAAAAAAAAAATTTAAAAAAAAAAAAAATTTAAAAAAAAAAAAAATTTAAAAAAAAAAAAAATTTAAAAAAAAAAAAAATTTAAAAAAAAAAAAAATTTAAAAAAAAAAAAAATTTAAAAAAAAAAAAAATTTAAAAAAAAAAAAAATTTAAAAAAAAAAAAAATTTAAAAAAAAAAAAAATTTAAAAAAAAAAAAAATTTAAAAAAAAAAAAAATTTAAAAAAAAAAAAAATTTAAAAAAAAAAAAAATTTAAAAAAAAAAAAAATTTAAAAAAAAAAAAAATTTAAAAAAAAAAAAAATTTAAAAAAAAAAAAAATTTAAAAAAAAAAAAAATTTAAAAAAAAAAAAAATTTAAAAAAAAAAAAAATTTAAAAAAAAAAAAAATTTAAAAAAAAAAAAAATTTAAAAAAAAAAAAAATTTAAAAAAAAAAAAAATTTAAAAAAAAAAAAAATTTAAAAAAAAAAAAAATTTAAAAAAAAAAAAAATTTAAAAAAAAAAAAAATTTAAAAAAAAAAAAAATTTAAAAAAAAAAAAAATTTAAAAAAAAAAAAAATTTAAAAAAAAAAAAAATTTAAAAAAAAAAAAAATTTAAAAAAAAAAAAAATTTAAAAAAAAAAAAAATTTAAAAAAAAAAAAAATTTAAAAAAAAAAAAAATTTAAAAAAAAAAAAAATTTAAAAAAAAAAAAAATTTAAAAAAAAAAAAAATTTAAAAAAAAAAAAAATTTAAAAAAAAAAAAAATTTAAAAAAAAAAAAAATTTAAAAAAAAAAAAAATTTAAAAAAAAAAAAAATTTAAAAAAAAAAAAAATTTAAAAAAAAAAAAAATTTAAAAAAAAAAAAAATTTAAAAAAAAAAAAAATTTAAAAAAAAAAAAAATTTAAAAAAAAAAAAAATTTAAAAAAAAAAAAAATTTAAAAAAAAAAAAAATTTAAAAAAAAAAAAAATTTAAAAAAAAAAAAAATTTAAAAAAAAAAAAAATTTAAAAAAAAAAAAAATTTAAAAAAAAAAAAAATTTAAAAAAAAAAAAAATTTAAAAAAAAAAAAAATTTAAAAAAAAAAAAAATTTAAAAAAAAAAAAAATTTAAAAAAAAAAAAAATTTAAAAAAAAAAAAAATTTAAAAAAAAAAAAAATTTAAAAAAAAAAAAAATTTAAAAAAAAAAAAAATTTAAAAAAAAAAAAAATTTAAAAAAAAAAAAAATTTAAAAAAAAAAAAAATTTAAAAAAAAAAAAAATTTAAAAAAAAAAAAAATTTAAAAAAAAAAAAAATTTAAAAAAAAAAAAAATTTAAAAAAAAAAAAAATTTAAAAAAAAAAAAAATTTAAAAAAAAAAAAAATTTAAAAAAAAAAAAAATTTAAAAAAAAAAAAAATTTAAAAAAAAAAAAAATTTAAAAAAAAAAAAAATTTAAAAAAAAAAAAAATTTAAAAAAAAAAAAAATTTAAAAAAAAAAAAAATTTAAAAAAAAAAAAAATTTAAAAAAAAAAAAAATTTAAAAAAAAAAAAAATTTAAAAAAAAAAAAAATTTAAAAAAAAAAAAAATTTAAAAAAAAAAAAAATTTAAAAAAAAAAAAAATTTAAAAAAAAAAAAAATTTAAAAAAAAAAAAAATTTAAAAAAAAAAAAAATTTAAAAAAAAAAAAAATTTAAAAAAAAAAAAAATTTAAAAAAAAAAAAAATTTAAAAAAAAAAAAAATTTAAAAAAAAAAAAAATTTAAAAAAAAAAAAAATTTAAAAAAAAAAAAAATTTAAAAAAAAAAAAAATTTAAAAAAAAAAAAAATTTAAAAAAAAAAAAAATTTAAAAAAAAAAAAAATTTAAAAAAAAAAAAAATTTAAAAAAAAAAAAAATTTAAAAAAAAAAAAAATTTAAAAAAAAAAAAAATTTAAAAAAAAAAAAAATTTAAAAAAAAAAAAAATTTAAAAAAAAAAAAAATTTAAAAAAAAAAAAAATTTAAAAAAAAAAAAAATTTAAAAAAAAAAAAAATTTAAAAAAAAAAAAAATTTAAAAAAAAAAAAAATTTAAAAAAAAAAAAAATTTAAAAAAAAAAAAAATTTAAAAAAAAAAAAAATTTAAAAAAAAAAAAAATTTAAAAAAAAAAAAAATTTAAAAAAAAAAAAAATTTAAAAAAAAAAAAAATTTAAAAAAAAAAAAAATTTAAAAAAAAAAAAAATTTAAAAAAAAAAAAAATTTAAAAAAAAAAAAAATTTAAAAAAAAAAAAAATTTAAAAAAAAAAAAAATTTAAAAAAAAAAAAAATTTAAAAAAAAAAAAAATTTAAAAAAAAAAAAAATTTAAAAAAAAAAAAAATTTAAAAAAAAAAAAAATTTAAAAAAAAAAAAAATTTAAAAAAAAAAAAAATTTAAAAAAAAAAAAAATTTAAAAAAAAAAAAAATTTAAAAAAAAAAAAAATTTAAAAAAAAAAAAAATTTAAAAAAAAAAAAAATTTAAAAAAAAAAAAAATTTAAAAAAAAAAAAAATTTAAAAAAAAAAAAAATTTAAAAAAAAAAAAAATTTAAAAAAAAAAAAAATTTAAAAAAAAAAAAAATTTAAAAAAAAAAAAAATTTAAAAAAAAAAAAAATTTAAAAAAAAAAAAAATTTAAAAAAAAAAAAAATTTAAAAAAAAAAAAAATTTAAAAAAAAAAAAAATTTAAAAAAAAAAAAAATTTAAAAAAAAAAAAAATTTTGAAAAAAAAAAAAACAATGTAAAATTGCAAGAGCCAGCCTTATAGTACAGTGGTGAAACATTTTTGCATAGGGAGCCAGGTCCCACATGGCCAAACATGGTTCAAGTCTCAGCCCCAGTGGCTTAAAAAACATGCATTTACAGATATGCCCAAAATCCTCACAGAAGGGAGGAATGGAGAAAAAAGGACTGTGGTGTCACCATGCCCCACTGGATGGTGCTTTCTACCTCTCTCAGTCAAGCACACGTACCCTCTGGCAAGCAAACGTGGACACAATTAATTTTCCAAAATTTTCTTTCTCTTTTAACTCACATACACACACACTTAGGGGCACTGTGTTTTCTCATTCGTTTGTAAGTGTTTAATAAATGTTGAATTGAAACATTAAATTAAGAAATAACTGGATTAGACTTTTCAAACACTGAAAGTCTTTCTATAATCTATTATAGCTCAGTAACATTAGTGACAATTATGAATAAAAGCAGAACCAGATGCTCATCATGAGAGCACATTACAAATACCTGATTCACCTTACTTTATGAGCAATATTAGACTAATCAATATACATACCTAAAATATTGAGGGCGCATTTGTATTCATTGATCCCTCTTTGTACTAATTAGCTTCCTGGAAACTTTACAAGGTTTCCAAAGATTGGTTTACCTTAATGTTCCAATATGATAAATCTAAATAAAATAAAAGTTCACTCTAGGATAGTCCTGAAATCAGTCCCAACTAATTTTCTGAGACAAAACAGCTCTGTTGCTTTCCACAGCTTTTGTTCTGTCTTTCGCAAATCCCCATTAAGAGCTCTGTTCCATTGCCGCCTGCCACAGTGCTCTTATCTGAACATCCAAATGAACAGACCCCATCTGCAGCCATTATTTAGTTGCCATCTCCATGGTGATTTGAGGACACGAGGATGGGGAGCGAGGTCGCTCCCTTTCATCAGCCCTTCTTGCTTATTTCCTGTCTTATTGTTACCTGGGACAGAAGCACCGAACCCGTTTGGGCAGCGGTTCTTGTTTCCCTGTCGCTTCCGGAGATTGATGGGTTAACCGGCTCTAACGATTCACTGTTCTGATGAAGCAGCCTCGGGGGCTCAGTTGCGTTCCCCCTAAACGCTTGAGCGCTACTGCCCTCTTGTGGCGCCTAGTTGCCAAATTTTTGCAACTTGGACGACAGAGCGCTTTAGCAAACTTAGGAATTCTTTCAAGCAGTTACACTACTTTTATTTATCTATTTCATATCCATAAGAAGTTATCATTTTTTCTTTGCCTTGGCAAAAGTTATAGCTATAAAGACTGCTGAGTCAATCTTTAGATCTGT